CTTTGCTCGACAGACAGCTCTCTTACAGCAGAGGAGGCATTGGCAAGCTGCTGAATCCACAAACAAACAAGCCTTCTGAGCAAACTGGCTTTAATTCTGCTGTTAGGATGCCAGCAGGGACCCAAGTCCTAAGGAGATCAAATTTGTACTGAGGGATATTTGGGCAAAGCTGGAGTGATAGGGGTACATGAGGAGCTGAGCATTCCTAGCACCTGCTTCCTCTTCATAGACCTTTTTTCCCCCTCCACTTTGGACTGATGACATGTAGTCTCCCACAAGGAAAATCCTGTATTGAGCTCCAAAAGATGGGGGCAAGAATCTTATTGGCTAGAATTCTGGGGTACCAGAGCACTGGGGCTCACTGGTGCTGTGAGCTCCCACCCTGCTGGACACAACTGCTTGGCAGCTGCCTACAGCACAGGAAGCTCCTCTGCATAAAGCTGAATGGTGCTGGCTCCTGTGTTTGATTTCCAGGTTCCAAGACACAAGGAGAGCTAAAAATATCCCAATTAACCATTCCTTTTCAACACAAGATTTGATGATTGTGCACAAGGGTATTATACAACTATAAACAGGAAGATGTGGTCTGCAAATCAAAAAGAAATTAAACTGAGAAAACAGGTGGGCAGGACCGTAACCTCTGAATTCAAGCATGGACCACATCCAAAACTGGGGAGGGGCTTGTACTACTTGCAATTGTGGTGGCTAGCTCTGAGGGGCTTGCAAGCTTTCTGATGTGACACACACAGGGTATATAATTTCTGCTCTGCATTGCTTATATACAGAAAGTTTGTTCTGGCTATAGCCCATGGAAGTTGTCTCCTGGGTCAGCTGGCTCCTAAGCTTAGTGCCATGCAGCACGTCAGGAGTTAAGCAGGGAACTTTTATTCCTGGTGAAACCCATTGCCTCTGCTAGGCTCCAGAGCTAAGGATTTCTTCACATGCAGATTTAGCAGCAAATTTTTTTATCACTTCCCAATCTTTACACTGACATCTAGACTTTAAACATCGTCTGTGGCTAATACTGGAGTACATTACTCACAGCAGTGCACCCGGGAGAACCAGCAAATCCTCCCCATTTGAGCCTGAGCGTCAGCTTTACCCTGGAATTACATTTATCTCTCTGGCACTAGGCTCCCATTAATGGAATTACCAGGCAGGCTGCTTCAGACTTAACACTTGAGAGAAGCGGGCTGGGATGGCTCCACTCCAGCCTCAGCCCAAAAAGCCAGCACTGTTTCTCCATCCTCCAGTGAGCTGCCGCCCTAACGAGCCCGACCCCGTGACAAGAGCCAGGGAAACAAAAGAAACAACCCCGAACTGTCCAGGGCAATCAATATCTTTCTAGGAACATCCAGGCTTCTTGCCAGCTTTCTTCTAACCCCGATTTAGCTCTTCTGCAGCGCAAAGGGGGATGGCACGCGCAGGAGCAACCCAGCGGGATGCAGAGCCGGCAAGCGTGGCTGGCACTCGGGGACGCCAGTCTACAGCAGTCCTTCTACAGGTACCTCACACTGAGGGTGTCAGAGCAAACACACATCTACAGAAAGCACCCATCCACCTCAAAAATCAGAGCAAGCACCCCAGTCTGAACACTTGTTTTAGAAATACCCACTGCTACTTAAAATGGGGAGGCATATCGTAGCAAACCAGCCAAGATTGCTAACCTCAGCACAGGAGGTTACCCTGCACTTTCTAAAAAACTGCCTTCCATTGCACAGCAGCTACTGCACTGCCATGCTGAGCAATCTGCAGCATGGCATGAACTGGATACTTAAAGCATGCCTGCACCACCCAACAAAATGGACAACTGAGAGCATCATGGGCTGCTGAAAGCCAAAGGGGATGCAGCAATCAACCCTATCATAAAGCTCCACTGATAGCTCTTAGCACCTCTGGGGGCTGTTCTTTGCACAGAGCAGCTGTAGGCTTCTTAAGGTGGGCTTTTCCCAGTCACCTGCAAAGGGACTTCTCTAATCTTGGCATGGAGGGAGCACAAGGAGAAAATAGATTCACCAAAACTTGAACAATGTTTGCCCCAGATACGGAGACCCAGGAGCACAGCACTACGAAAGCAAGAGGAAGATGGAAATGGAAAAGCAAGGAGAAAACTGACTTGCAGAGTACAGACATGCCCTTACAACAGCTTTAAATGGGGGAGTTGAACTCTTCTCTCCTGCAATTAAAAGGCAGGAGAGGAAAGCATTGGAATTACCCCAGCGTGACTGTGAAAGACTGACAAGCTTTGAGTTTCAAAGTCCATCTTAACACACACTCTTTGGTGCAATTTTAATCCTAAAGAAAAAAAGGAAAAAAAAGAGGTTTTGCTGCAAGAAAAGCTGCCATACAACCTTGTCATTAAACCACACAAGGTGCAAATGAGGGAGGACTGTGGCTGGAGTTGACCAAGCAAGGCCGAAGGCAGTCCCCTCTTCCCCCCTACCCCTGCATTTGCTCTGCCAGTTACTCTCAGCAATAAACGATTCAGAGAGACAGACTGCCCCGTGACAGGAAAAACACATGTAACACCCAGGCGGTGAAACCTCACATCTGAGAGCATCTATGCAAAACACAGCCTGAAACATATTTTCCAGCTCCACAGAGTCAACTTCATGTTTTGCAAAGCCGAGCTGGTGAAACGCTATTGCTTACAACCAAGGTGAGATTTGCCAGCAGAAGTTACTCTCAAGCATCTCCCTATTTTCTGCATATCAGAAAAAAAAAAAAAAAAAAAAAAAAAAAAGAGAAGCCTATTGGTAAAATTACAGGGTCCTGCAGCTCAGGGTGATGTAAAAGAGACAGGAGGACTTCAGAAAAAAAAAATTACACAAGTGCAATATTCTTCAGCCTGGCACCCAGCAGAATAGCCTAGCTATGAAAACTTCTTTTTTTTAAAAAAAACTATAAAGGTAAGGAGCCATCGGAATTATGAGTCAAGCTCCCAGATAAGAAATCATGCTGCTGGATGGGTGCGGCTGCCTGCTTGTTTGGTCGCTGTTGGGTTTTTTTCAAAAGATAAACATGTCTTTCAGAACATGTTTGTTGGCCAATCTTCTCTCTGCTGAAAAAAAAAAAAAAAAAAAAAAAGAAGGAAGCTCACAACCGTGAAAACGATAAATGAAAGGCAGGACAGTTTCCGATGGGCTGAGGTCACGCTTCACGGGCCCTTTAAAGTAAGATGCAACATATATCAGTATGTTGAAAAGAACAAAAGAGGAGGAAATTTAAAATTCCAAGTAGTTCAGTAAAATATCATTCAGAAGAGCTATTAAGCAAACTCTGCATGAAGCAGAGCCCATTCACAGACCAGAACCTGTCGAGGAAAAGAAGTAAGTGTTTTATATCTATTTCAATTTTAAAGCTGTTGATATATAGGAGTATTTAATCAGAAATTCACACTCTGGAAGAGGCTCATTCAGCAAATGCATCCAGAAAAAAAAGTAACTTGTGTATATCAGAGGCAGAACTAAGGCAAATCCCTTAGAAAGGGTGTAATATTGAGCAGAGAATGGTTTTGAATCCAACAGAACGATGACTTGAACACAGCTATGGTAGAAGTACAAAAGCAGTGCAGAAAGGCAAACGGTGTAAAGGACCCAGGAATTCGACAGAGCAAAAGCCACAGCAGGTCTCATCGCTCTCGCCAAATTTCCCTGCTGCTCAGTGAATTGCAGTAACTTGGTGACAGGCATCACTGTCTGAAGCCCTGCCAGCTCAGCCCAGGACTTTGCTGCTTTCCAAACACAAGGTGTTAAGCAGCTACCACCGAGGTTATACAACAAGGTTATTTGGTAATCCCTTCGGTTCAGAAAGAATTTTGCATTGGCTATCAATGCTGGCTGGTTTTGCATTTTCTTGTTCAAGAACATCAGAGGGGAGGAAAGCAACCAAGTACAACGCAAGCAATTAACTAGAATGACAGGTTTTTAACTAAGTCCTGGATATCGCTGCCGCTGAACACAGCTTTAAATTAAAGTGGCAAGCCCATCAATAGCCTCATCTCCCTCAGTATGGCGGTGGCAGAGAAAAGTCCCAATGCTCTCACCTGCTTTGCTATGTACATCCTGATTGAGAGCATCCCCTTTTCCCACCAAAATCCCATCTCATCAATACAGCTCCCCAGAAGGCTCCAGTATATGCCATCATCTGCCATTTCCACAGCCGCCCAAAAACCCTTGCTCCAGAGCAAGAAACTCCCTCCTTGTCCAGCGAGGAGATCTTGCCTTTAACTCTGTCAGCTAGAGCACAAGGGCATACGGAACGATTTCTTGAGGGGAAAAGACCTCACGATTCACTCCGGTGCCAGATACCACTTTTTTGGGTGTTGTTTTCAGAGGAGGCATCGCACGGCAAGGCGGGGGGAACCAGCTGCCAGCAGCAGGTCGGCTCCTCAGGCACTTGAGCTGCCGCATCTCCAGCTGCCCCAGACACCCGGAGGGACCAACCCGCACGTCCCACCATCGCTGCCAGCTGCATCCCCGGCAGCAGGTATTTTGGGCGCTCCCCTGGCTACCCACTCGGCTCCCAGGCCGAGCCCCCAGAGCTCCCGCAGGGAACAGCGGGGCGGGGTGCGGGCGCCGTGCCCGCAAGGACCGTGCCTGGCTGCGGGGAAGGCGAAGCCTCCCCGAGCAGTAAGCGCGGCCATCCGGGCCGCTCCCGCGCCGCTCCATCAGCTCAGGGGGCTCGGTATCTTGTGGGGTTTCTTTTTGTTTGTCTGTTTCATTCTGTTTTGACCTCAGTGCAGCCCCATCGCGGCTCAGAGGACGCCCCCGGTGCCCCGGCACAGTCCCTGCCGGGCGCACAGCCCCGCGCTCGGACCGCCCCGGCGCGCAGCCCTGCGCATCCTGCCTCCCGTTCCACAACCGCCGCGGGCACAGCCCTGCACCGCGCCCCCAGCACACAGCCCTCTGCAGCCCCTCCAAGCGCGCCGCCCCGCCACCATGCCATCCCACTCCCATTCCCATTCCCACTCCCGCTCCCATTCCCGCTCCGGGTCTCACCGCGCGGCGCATCCTCCTGCCCCAGCGCGCGCACAGCGCCCAGCCCGGCCCGCCGCGCGCCGCCGCCGAGCCCCGGCCGACGCGCTCCTGCGCAGGCGCAGTGCGAGACCCAAGTGCGAACGGCAACTGCCGGCGGCGCACGGTGTCTCGCGAGAAGAGAATATGTGCGCGCCGGGAGGATCCTTGAGCAGGGTGGGGAATTAGCTCAAATGGTAGAGCGCTCGCTTAGCATGCGAGAGGTAGCGGGATCGATGCCCGCATTCTCCAAGTAGTTTTGTTCCCGTTCCACGCAGCAGCCCCCCCTCTTCCTTTAGAGTACACAAACGCGATACTGGTTTTGCCTTTTTAAATTCCTTATGTTCTTAGTTGCTTCCTTAACATTCATAAAGATCACAGAATCACACAGAATATCCTGGGCTGGAAGGCACTTACGAGGATCACTGAGTCTTGAACAGGTTGCACCACGTGCCTGAGAGTAACATCCTAAAGTTTCTTGAGCTCTGTCAGGCTTGGTGCTGTGACCACTTGCCTGGGGAGTCTGTTCCAGTGCCCAACCACCCTCTGGGTGAAGAACATTTTTCTAACAGCCAACCTAAACCTCCCTGACACAACTTCTGGCCATTCCCTCGGGTCAGTACCTGCCCCTCCTCTTACCCTCACATGGAAGTTGTAGACTGCAATGAGGTCTCCCTTCAGTCTCCTCCAGGCTGTGAACAGACCAAGTGACCTCAGCTGCTCCTCATGCCGGCTGCACAGATACATGTGCCTGTCCCCTGCTTAAGGCAAGCAGAGCACTATCTGTGTATTCCCAGCACTTTGAGGAGGCCTTTTGCTTTTTCATTAGATAAGGGACAAGGCCAGCACCAGGGAGCAGCTACCCACTGCCTCCAGTGCTTCCCAGCAGCTGTGGCCCCAGCCATCATCTACCTGCTCATCCCATCCAGGAGCAGGAGGCCTCAGAGATCTCCTTTTCCTGGGAGCCTTCACTGGAGCCGAAACACTCATTTGTCTTTAGTACATTTGAGAAGGAATCAAAATGCCTCAAGGAGTCATTGATGTAGGTGCCATTTAGTAAAAAAAAGTCAAGCTCAGTGAATTTATCCAGGTGCTAAGTTTGGAAAAACACTCGATTTCTTCACATTCTGCTCCTATTCTACTGCAAAAAGCCCCATGGAATAACCAAAGGCTTTAAATGAAAAGAGAAGCAGTTTTTAGAAACTGAAGGTGTATCATGAAAAAAACCCAACCCCACAGGATTACACTCAGTTGGCATTTCTCTCCCAGTCACTAGCTAAACTGGAAGCCAAAGGTGGAAAACAATTCTGCACACTTTCTTGGGTTACATGCATGAGGAAATGACCTCCCTGGCAAATTTCAATAACAAAGAGTGGAATTCAGCTTTCAAGCTGCTCACAGGCCCCAGCCAACACACCAGGAAACTGCAGAGCATCCCACCCCCAAACCTTCACAGTGAATTAATTGACAATTAATTCCCAATAGTCCAAAGAAGAACAGGATTGAAGAGAGGATGCAATGGGTTGAACATATTGATCCTGGAGGTGTTTTCCAACCCTAATGACTCCATGATTCAAAGTGATTTTTTGGCACAAATAACCACGAATTCTCATGGGTAGTCTCACAGAGATTAAAAAGAGATGTCTCCACTGGCAGAGGACATCTACAATTCCTTTCCACAAAATGACAATGGTAACATGCAAACTGAAGTCTGAAAAACAAATGAGTGTATGGTTGTCAGGATTTCTTTTAGCTTGAAGATTTCATTCTTGCCTTTTAAAGCTGGTTTAAACTCAGGCTTCTGAGTTCCATACAAACTCATGAAATAACCAGCTGTCACTACACTGGCCTTCAAAGCTTCAACAAAAGATTTGAGTCTTCCTATACAGCAGGATTTAAAGGAGAGTGAAATCCATTGCAGTCTCCTATTTCATCAGCTGCTACACAGCTGGCATGAAGACACTCTGTTGTGAAATACATTTGTGTCTATGGTCTGGTCCTCTCATTTTCCCCTCTAGCTCTGACCTCATCTCAACCCTCAACCCCTGCAGTATCTTGGTGACCACGGGCAACCTCGGGGTGATGGAAAACCACTGGACCGTAAGTCTGGTCAAACTGATGCTGCGTCGCCCTCTGCAGACGGGCAGGCAAAGACTGCCACGGGCTGAGGCAGAAGATGCAGAAAAGCAGGGATGTGAGAAGATTCCTCCGACCGTACTTTTTCTGCAGGTCAATGCAGTCCAGTCGTTGATGAACAAATCTGGAAAGCTCCATTTTCTTGGGGCTTCATTTTCACTGGACCCACGGTGAAAGACTGTATCCAGAGGAATAAAATACGACACATATAGTCACAGCATTATTTCATTATAATGCTCCCCGCTCCCCCCAAAAAACAAAACCAGCATGAAGTGGAGAGACCAGCTTTTCTTTTACAAGAACAAGCCGACCACATCAGAACAGCAAACATTTCCTCCCTAATGGTTTTCTTGTGGGAATCTATAATGAGCTGACACAGTATGGAACATCCATATGTGTGCACGCACACATGCAAGTTAGGGTGAGCATTTGTCTGTATTTATTGAGTAACCCAAAGCTTGCTTGGCCACCTCACAGCCCCCAGCCTATTGTTACCAGCATCTGTTTATTGACCTCTTTTTCTTTTTTCTTTTTATTTTTTTCTCCTGAGACATCAGTTGAGCCACAGTATCAGGTTCTCTGGCTCCACAGATGCTTTGTTCCCCAGTGCTTAATCAGCCCACTGGCTCTTCAAGAATGACTCAAGTTTTGCATTTCCTCACCCTACAAAGCCTTACTTCAAGTTCACACACAAGCTCAAGGAACAAATGGCTCCCAGCAATGATCAAGAAGGAGTTAGAACAAGCCTCTCAGAGCAACAAATGGAACTGGGCATATGCTTATAATTCGCTGTTCTGATCACCATGGCTGAATTTATGGAATGAATTTTCTGGTAGGGATGGCATAGTCAAGTTAGCAAAAGATCTGCCACTACTCTTGACAATTTTATTGTCTTTAATTACTATTAAATATATGCACAAAGGCATCTTGAGAGCACAGAGAACAGAACAGGAAACTGCTAGAGGGGAAAAGGCAAAGCTTTCAGCTTACACTAACAGCCTTAATTTAAGCATCCTTTTGTAAGTTTGCTCCAGGGTTATGTGCGTAAATTTAGTTTTAAAAATAAAGTCATTTTAAATGCAGAGATACTTTTCAACTTCCTCAGATCCCACACACAAGACCTACACTTCATGGGTTCATGGCAGCCATGCACAAAAGCAACAGGGACAAGATGGACCAAAGGAAGGGAAGCACCTAAAAAAAGGGGAGATAAATTTGAGTGAACTCAAAATGGATGTGGAAAATTGGTGATAAAGAAGGGAATACAGGGCAGATGATCCTCAAGGAATCAGACCTGAGTCTGTACAAACAATCAAATGGACATACCTTCCATGCCAGGAGCCTGTGCTGTTTCTGCATCAAGACACACGCATGTGTTTCTCACTGCTGTTTGCTGTTGGCTCTCTCAGCCCCACTGTGCATCATTTCCTCTGGACTTGCGTGTATGTCAGTGAGTAGGATGGCCTGGTTCTGCTTGCTGAGGGGAGGGCAATAGATTTGTCCCAAGATGCCTCTTGTTGTCCCCACAGTGAGGGCAGCCAAAGGGATGACAGAGAGAAAGACTCTGATAACGTCTTGGCATGGCTATTTGGCTTGTAAATCTAATATTCCACAAGCACAGTCCAGTGCTTTGTCCAGGGCAGGAGGTCTACAGGAGGTGCACAGGACATAAACCTCTCTGAAACTTCTAACAAACACTGGACTTCGTCCTTTAGAGACTCCTGACGTGCAGTGGAGCAAGAATCAACACTAGAGAGATGCCAGCAGGGGCGGGATAGGAAATAAGACCTTTGCTGTTTGGCTGAATGTCAGTCATCTGATTTCAAACTGTCTGGTAGACCAGGAGATGGTGCAACCTCTTGCCAGTGTTCATTCTTCCTAACACTGGTGGTCTTCCTGGGAGCATCCTACCAATGCAGAAGGGCGGAGACATCCTTCACCAGCCACAGCATTCACCCATCTGCCTGCCAGGGAGCATCCTAACAAGCAGCAGCTTGTGCCATCCCCAACCTTGTTCCATCCCCAGATTTGTGCCTGTGGTTCAGATTTCAGGTCAGACCTGAAACAGGCACAAAGACTGTTCCAGCAAACTCTGTGTGTGGACAACCCAGTTTCTTCTGGAAGGAAATGGGAAAGAGATGCACTGTCTAGCATTCAGCTCTCTTCTGGGCACTAAGGAGAGTGGGTTTTAGCTCTTTGAGCTCTTCTGGTGTTCGGTTCCCATCTCCTCCAGAGGAATGATAATAAAGATAACTGGAGGGAAATCCTCTAGTGTTTCCCCTGGGGCTCAGCAAAGGCTCTGTTTTCCAGGCTGTGCCACCATCTCTCTGTCAACGTCAACAGCTGTGGGACGGAAAAACAGAGCTGGCCTTCTGCCTGCAGCTCATTTGCAGGCTATTGAAGCATTAATTCATCTTCACACTGTAGAGGATGGGGAAAGAAAGCAGGTTACTTCAACCTGCAATTAGCGTGTGATGCAGCTTGAGTGATGGCAGGATATTCGTTGGGGAGGGGAAAAGCCAGTGGGAATTTGGGAGGAGGAGGTGTAGGACTGGGTTCATGCTTGCTGGGAGGTGAGACAGATGACCCCCAGGTGAGGTGATAGGTAAGCACCAATGTGCTTAACATCACCCCTCGGCCAGGTGGGGCAGGGCTTGCCTGGAGAATGGAGAAATTATGCAGTCCCCAGCATCTCTATCCACACTTTAACAGTGTGGCGGCCTCATTTTCGGATGGCTCCTTCAATGGCAGCCACTTCCTTGCTCTGGGCTAAACCATGTCGAGTGGCTACATGATCCAGTGTTAGAAGTTAAAGCCACCTCTGTCACCATCACGCTTTGTGCGATGGTTGCATCGTCACTAAGCCAGACACAGCCGCGTACAGAGTGCTTGCTTCTTGAGCCCCTGAAGAGCTGCCAGGGGAGGAAAAAA